GCTGGTCTTGAACTCCTGACCTCAGGTGATCCGCCCGCCTTGGCCTCCAAAGTGCTTGGATTACAGGCATGAGCCACTGCACCCGGCCGCCCTGTAAGTTTTAAGTGACTTGAATTCTACTTCACAGCTCACTCCGGCTCCCTCACTCTCTCTCTCTCTCTCTGTGTCTCGCTTTCCCCTCCCAATCTCTCTCTCTCTCTCTCTCTCTCTCTCTCTTCATCCATCCACTGATCTCTTTTTATTGAAATACCCAGCATTCCTAAGTAGATGGGGAAATAGATACCAAGATTGTATTAGTTCAAAAAGGAGGTCTTCCTGGAAGCCTGCTTGGAAAGACAAGCAAATCCTTCAAAGCATTTTCGGCCTTTGATTCAGCAATTCATTCTTAAGAATTTTTTGGAGGCCTGTCATGGTGGCTCACGTCTGGAATCCCAGCACTTTGGGAGGCTGAGGTGGGTGGATCTTGAGGTCAGGAGATCGAGACCATCCTGGCCAACAAAGTGAAACCCCGTCTTTACTAAAAACACAAAAATTAGCTGGGTGTGGTGGCACGTGCCTGTAATCCCAGCTACCCAGGAGGCTGAGGCAGAAAAATCACTTGAACCCAGAGGCAGAGGTTGCAGTGAGTTGAGATCACGCCACTGCACTCCAGCCTCAGTGACAGAGCGGGACTCCACCTCAAAAAAAAAAAAAAAAAAAAAAAAAACCTAAAAAAAATAGAAAATAATTTGTCTTAAACAGATAGCCATTGATGCATACAGACTTGAGCATTGAGCTGATGCACAGGGTTTTTGTTGTTTTTTGGATATATATATATATATTTAGAGAGGGGTCTCACTTTGTCACCCAAGCCGGAGTACAGTGGCAGAAACCTAGCTCACTGCTGTCTTGAATTTCTGGGCCCAAAGAATCCTCCTGCCTCAGCCTCCTGAATAGCTGGGCATACAGGCACAAGCCACTGTACCTGGCTAATTTTTAAATTTTCAGATCTTACCATTTTACCCAATCTCATCTCAACCTTCTGGTCTCAAGTGATCCTCCTGGAGAGACCTCCTAAAATATTGGGATTGCAGGTGTGAGCCAATGTACCCAATCTTGATGCATAGTTTTTACAATCTATGAAATATCCATATAATAAAATTGGACCACAAAATATGATGCTGCAGATGATATTTAATGAGACAATATGTAGATATATTTTTGCAGAAAGCTAGCACAAGTAATGTATTCAATATAATTCTATTTTCTACATCTACCTAGTTAAAATACCGGAAAGCTACATAGTCAAGAGTGAGTAACGGGTGTATTCTTGTGGGTGGGCAGAGGGATGACTTACTACATTCTTTTTGTTCTGCTGTGTTGTGTATAATTTTTCAATAATATGTAGATTCCTTTTGAAATAAGGAAATAATAAATACAATGATTTCTTATAGTTTCTTCTAGTAGTTTCTAATTCTCTAAAATCTATTAAATTTCATGATTCCCTACTCCTCAATCTAATTTTACATTTGCTCTACTTAGACATTTAGAGAGAAAGTGAGGGAGATGGGGAGAGAGAGAGAGAAAGAGAGAGAGAGAGAGAGAGAGAATGAATGGAGATGCAGATATAAATGGACCTAGATGTTGTTGCTAGATAAACCTCTAGCCATTTTCATCAGCCATTGCTAGGATGAACCTGGACCAACCAGTCTGATGCTAATGATGGCTCAACTATTAACAACAGTAATACCAGCTACAGTTCATGGAAAGTTCTATAAGGAGCTCTGGGAGGAAAATGTTATGAGCATATCTCACTTAAACCTTAAGAGAGGACTTCAAGATAAATGCTATTACTGTTCCCATTTTAGAAAGGAGAAAATGAGCTCGGGGATATCAAAAACTTTGCTCTCCTCCACAAAGCTGGAATGTTTCAGAATTGGTGTTCGAACTAAGTCTGGCTTCATGGGCCACAATCTTGAACATAGTATGATGGCACTGACTCATCTCTGTTTTATCTGTGTCTACTCCTAAATTAGTTATATTAGTCACAGTTTTCCAGAAACAGAGTAAATAGGATATATACACCAAGATCTGGGGTCTGAAGGCCTGAAAGCTGACGGTGACAGTTTCTGTTCTGGATTTTAGGGCAAAAGGAGACCAATGTCCCAACTCAAGATCATCAAACAGAGAGAGCTTATTCTCTCTTACCCTGCCTTTTGTTCTATTCTATCAGATTGGATGAGGCCCACTCACATAGCAGAGGGCAATCTGCTTTACTCAATCTATCAATTCAAATGTTAATGTCATTCAGAAACACCCTTAGCGACACACCCAGAAGAAAGTTTAACCAAATATCTAAGCACCCTGTGTCCCAGTTAGGTTGACATATAAAAACAACCATCGGCCAGGTGTGGTGGCTCATGCCTGTAATCCCAGCACTTTGGGAGGCTGAGGCGGGGGGTCATGAGGTCAGGAGATCAAGACCATCCTGGCCAACATAGTGAAACCCCGCGTCTACTAAAAATACAGAAAAATTAGCTGGGCGTGGTGGCACATGTCTGTAGTCCCAGCTACTCAGGAGGCTGAGGCAGGAAAATCACTTGAACCCGGGAGGCAGAGATTGCAGTGAGCTGAGATCATGCCACTGCACTACAGCCTGGGTGACAGTTTGAGACTCTATCTCAAATATATATAACCATCAGGGCCAGGTGTGGTAGCTCACACCTGTAATCCCAGCACTTTGGGAGGCTGAGGTGGGCAGATCACAAGGTCAGGAGTTTGAGACCAGTGTGGCCAACGTGGTGAAACCCCTTCTCTACTAAAAATACAAAAATTAGCTGGTTATGATGGCGGGTGCCTGTAATCCCAGCTACTTAGGAGGCTGTAGCAGGAGAATCGTTTGAACCTGGGAGGCGGAGGTTACAGTGAACTGAGATCATACCATTGCATTCCAGCCTGGGCAACAGGGCAAGACTCAGTGTTACACACACACACACACACACACACACACACAAATCAAAACCTTTAATTCATTCCAGGCCGCCTCTGCATGCCCACCACTGCCAGGTCTGAAATCATACACACGTCTTCAAGCCCAGCCCTAGTTTCCCGCAAATGCTTAAGTCAGCCCTGGCTCACGGGGAGCACTTGCTCTTTTCCAACAATAAGCTCTGTCCTGCGCCCCAAATCCAGCCTCCTCAATATTTCTGACTGACCCATGTGCCAAAAAAAAAAAGCATACTTTTTTTTTTTTTTTTTAAAGCCTACACCACCCAGTATTCCCAAGCAGTCTCCCATCCAAGTACTAACCAGGCCCTACCCTGCTTAGCTTCCGAGATCAGACGAGACAGGGAGCGTTCAGGGTGGTATGACCATAGACAAAAGATGTACTTTTTAATGGTTGGGAAAAAATGAAAAGAAGAATAATATTTCATGACGTGAAAATTATATGAAATATGTATATCAATGTCCATCGGTACAGTTTGAGGGCACGGCCATGCTCATTTGACTACATCTTTCTCATAGCTGCAGTTGTGCCACAGTGGAGCTAAGTGCTTGCAGACCGTAACAGTCCACAAAGCATAAAGCATTTACTATCTGTCTCTTTACAGGGAGCTTTGCTGACCTCTGCTATAAAATCCCAGAGTGCTGCATGTAGACATCGTTTTCGATAACTTGGGGCTGTGCTGGAACAGATCACATGACTGGCATGCTTTGCCCCTCCACCCTTTAAATCCAACCACCCCACATGTTTCAATTAAAAAGTTTCAAACTACCCTAATCTTCCCATGCTAACTCACTTACTCTGCTTTTGTATATTTCCTTCCAGATGTGAATCTCTATGTATATGTTTGCAGCCACAATGCATGATGTGCATTATTTAACTGTTGTGCATTCGTTTATCATTTATGATTTCGTGAATTTATACCCCTTAAAGAAGAAACTCATGAACATAATTTTTTTTTTGTTTTCTTTTTTTTTTTTTTTGAGACAGGGGGTCTCACTCTGTCACTCAGGCTGAAGTGCAGTGGCACAAACTCCGTTCACTGTAACCTTCACCTCCTGGGCTCAAGTGATCCTCTACCTCAGCCTCTTGAGTAGCCGGAACTATAGTTGGACACCACTGTGCCTGGGTAATTTTTGTATTTTTGTGGAGACAGGGTCTTCCCATGTTGCCCAAGCTGGTCTTGAACTTCTGGGCTCAAGCCATCAGCCTGCCTCAGCCTCCCAAAGTGCTGGGATTACAACAGTGAGCCACCACGCCTGGACTTATGAATGTAATTCTTTGCGTAATCCAAGTCTCTAGCATGACGTAAAGCAAAGAGCAAATGTTCTGAGGGCATGTTTATGTGTGCTGTGTGTTTATGTTTGGGCATCTTCATACACCAATGACTATGAAGAGAAGGCATGTGCATGGCTCTGGGAAGCAGTCCATGGCAGACAGGTTCTCCTTGACCCACAAAGTGTTGGAGCCTTAACTGGAATTAATTCCCGACAGTTACCAACTGGCAGGTATTACGTCCAGACACAAATCTTTGGCTTCCCTTGAAAAATCAAGTGATCTACCTACATGGATCTCACAGTCTCATGTTCTCATATTAAGGGTTGTCTGGTCTTGGGCTTTTGATATTTCACTCTAGCTTCCCTCAGCCCTCGTCTTTCATTTCCATTCTTCCCTCTGGCCCCTGTTGACATTTGAAATAACTTCTGATACAGTAAGACATATATCCATAGTAGATGATCCACATGGTTGTGTCTATAGATGTCTGTACACATGCAAATTAATTTGAAACACCCTTACGACTGAATTGGAAAGTAGACAAAGGGATGCTTGGTCATGGTGTTAACAATGGCCCACATCGGGCATTCTGGAATGGCATTTAATCCAAGCGGTACACTGTTGAGAAGAGGAATAAATCATCTGCTCAAACAATGCTGACCATATTTTCCAGCACAAAAATGACCCAATTGCTTTCTGCAGTGATATGCACCAGGGCACGAGGAAGAAATTGCAAACGTACCATTGAGTTCTTCACGCTCTGTAGCAAGCGCTCATGCTGCTCAGCTATGGCCAAGGCAGCAGAGTGGACTTTCTGATAGATGGCCTCCCCATCTCGGGTCTGAAAGATAAACAGCCCTTCACCAGTCTCACACATCCTGTGAAAACAAAAACAAAACAGCTTCTGAAAATCCAGCGCCTAGAAGTTCAATGCACTAAGTTCCTGGAATACTCCATTAGGCTGTGCCCGTTTATTATTTTTTATGAGATTAAGATTCTTGTTCACATCTGCTAAACAAAGTTAACTAGAACGGAAATGTTCAAAGTGTTCAATTAATTGTTATTAACAAGGGCAGGGGACCAAGGGACTCCAGGCTAACCTGTGCTGAATGCTTTTAATCACAAAGTAAAACAGAAATTTAATAAAATGTTGTTTCTTGATAGGGAAGGTAAAGGTAAAATACTTTACCTTCCTTATTCTTCACCTTGCCACTCTCAAAGACAAATACCTGTGCATACATTCCTTTGTACAGTCTGTGAGTAACTCCTCATCAGAAACAGCACAGAGGGTGAGGAAGATTCTACATCTCTTTTAGAGTCTGATCTTGCTTTCCCTACAGACCATGGCTTTAAGGATTCTTTCCCTCCTAAAATCCTAGATCTCCAGCTTTCATTCAGTGTGATGGATCAAATGAAGTTAATTTTTTTTTCAATGAGCATGACTGTGCTGAATTAATATTTGGACCATTAGAGAAGTTCTTCATGGAAAGCTGTATAATTGGATAATTAACATCAAGTGTTAAGAAGAAGGGTATCTGTACCTCAGATGGTAAAGGTAAACAAAGAGAAATAAATTTCATTAACAAGGGAAGATTGGTACACACAATTAGGCAAGAGACAAATAAATGCTTTTTATCGAAATACATTTTAGTATGTATGTGCATATATATGCTATGTATATATATATATATATTATGTTTATATATTTTAGTGTGTATATATATAAAACTACACTCAAATATATTTAATTATTACCAATATTTTTTAAAAACTTGGACAAAATCATATTCAGGGATATTAAAAGAAGCTCTGAATTTGATACATACATACGCCAACAGTAAACTAAAAGATTGGTTCATTTGCTTGCTTCTTTTAAAGCACTTAATTATTCTAAGACACAATGCCACTCCTTCCATTTCAGAATTTCTTGCTGAAAAACTGAACGGTAGATTTAGTGCCTGAATTTTGCTCCCATCTAAAGAACTGTTTAAATAGAAACTAGGCAAACTTTCAGTCAAACCTCTGTTATTTTTTAAGTCTAGCCCAGTCTATGCAATTAATGCAATAAAACAAGGGAGCTGTATCCCTATCTAATGTTTTGAAGTTGGCCCAGTATCACAGACAAATGACAGTTTTCTACATATATGGCATGGCCTAAGTAATGGGCTAAAATCCATTAAATTTAAATTACATTTCATGACGTTCATGAACATGAGCCATGTATGAAGAAACAGAAGTTTGGGTATGGTGGCTCACACCTATAATCCCAGCACTTTGGGAGGTCAAGCTGGGCAGATCATCTGAGCTCAGGAGTTTGAGACCAACATGACAAAACCCCACCTCTACTAAAAAATACAAAAATTAGCAGGGCATGGTGGCGGGCACCTGTAATCCCAGCTGCTCAGGAGGCTGAGGCAGGGAGAATTGCTTGAACCTGGGAGATGGAGGTTGCAGAGAGCCAGGATCGTGCCACTACACTCCAGCCTGGGCGATAGACAGAGACTCCATCCCCGCCCCCTGCCTCAGTGGAGAAAAAAGAAGAAGAAGAAAAAAAGAAGAAACAGAGAGAAAAATGATGGCTCTTTCAATAAGCTAATACAAAGAACTACCTCATGAGGTTGATCATGTGATTTTAATTATTAAGTCATTTTAATCCAAAGAAGATCTGAAACTGAAATTAAAGGCATTTTCAATCAAGTTGCATTTCTTTTCCGAAGACATCTTATAATACTTAAACCCTTTCTGCTACCTCTTCCTTATTTAAGCCACCATGCAAACTTGACTCTATTCTTGGCATGTAATTCTGTAAGGTTTTGTTCTTCATACATCTTTTGTCCATCAAATATGGAAATATTAATTTAAGAGGAGAAAGTAATCCTAATCAATTCTTTAAGAGGAGAAAGTGGTCTCTGGTTTCCCCTGGGGCAGAGGTCTCTGTATATTTATTTACTTCCTTAAATGCCAACCTTGGTTCCAGAAGTATTGAAGGTACCTGTTACTCAGAAACACTAGTAGTATGACAGATTAATACCACACCTTGCATCTATGTTTCTCAAGCTTGGACGATCTAGTGGCTTTCAAAGTCTTTATTAACTGCAACTAACCGTAGAAAATATAATTTAGATTTTTAGCCAGTATACCTATCAATTTCTCTACTATCAATCTATAACATGCTAATATTTTCTATTCTATCTTATTTATAATACTAGTGGTGGAATGCTTAATCTGTAACATAATCCATTCATTTTACTCTTGGAAAATCACTCTTACCTAATGCCCACTTTTAAGAAACAAAATACATCTATAACCTTTTTTTAATGACATTTAAGTCTTTAACTAAATATTGTGATAAAAAACAAATGAAATCAAAACAACTATAGTACCAACATTCTTCTTTAATGTACATAGATTTCCCTCTCCTCTGCCTGAAGATCTGGAAAACACACACACACACACACACACACACACACACACACACCACTTACCACTAACAGAAAATAATAGGAAATACAACCTCAAATTCCATTAGAGTTTAGGCAGAGAACATGAATGCATAATGGTGCTCAAACCCACTATGACCTAGGGTAGTGGGAGTGCAGCTAGCAGAGAGCACAGTCCTGTCTAAGCATAGTAGCCAGAAGTCAGCCCTAATCAGATATCTACGTGGGGGAATGGGGAAATACCCATCCAAGGTGCTCACAGTTTCTGATTAAGAGAAGCAAGACATCTTGACTTTTATGTGAAGTCCCATGAATTTTATATGTCAGCAACTTGTTTCATTTTCTCTTTAAGTTGTGAGAGTCAAAAGGCCTTGATCAACCAGATGTGGCCAAGTAATCACCAGTGTGCATTAAAGACACAAATTGCATTAAGAGCTCTAAATAGAACATAAATGAGGCCTTTGGTGTAAATTAAGACTTTTGCTCAAAGGCATGTGTCCTTCATTGGACAGCCTGGCCCATGAAGATGCTAATGACCACAAACTGACCTTCAGATGCTCTTCCACCAGGTGTCTTCAGTACCCTACCCACAAGTTCTTTTCTCTTATCCACCCCTCCCAATTGATGTGTTTGGAACTGTTTCATAAGCAGCTTTATAACACTCTAAAATGTTACTACAGGCCTCCATTTAAAATCATATGATGGGCTAACTCCCCGAGGCAGTTCGAAGAAAACAAACAAACCGAAAAAAGGAAGTGAAAAGAAAGACAGGCCGGGCGCGGTGGCTCACGCCTGTCACCCCAGCACTTTGGGAGGCCGAGGCGGGTGGATCACGAGGTCGAGAGATCGAGACCATCCTGGTCAACATGGTGAAACCCCGTCTCTACTAAAAATACAAAAAATTAGCTGGGCATGGTGGCACGTGCCTGTAATCTCAGCTACTCAGGAGGCTGAGGCAGGAGAGTTGCCTGAACCCAGGAGGCGGAGGTTGCGGTGAGCCGAGATCGCGCCATTGCACTCCAGCCTGGGTAACAAGAGCGAGACTCCATCTCAAAAAAAAAAAAAAAAAAGAAAAAGAAAAAAAGAAAGGCACATCAAACAGGTTAATGGTCTTACACAACCTCATACAGCAATGTCTGCTTCTCATCTCTAGAGAAAATGCAGCAGAGAACAAAGATGTTCTAACGGGTTCACCCTGTAGCAGAATAGACAAGTCACCTGCTTTGACTTCCAATGGTCCCAATTCCTCCTTTCTCTTTACCCACTGATTTTTACCCTGGATGCTCTTCCTGTATCCAAAGTGGTCCCAACTGACCCAACACTTTGGACGTTAATGAAAACCAGTGGATTGGAAACCCAGAGAACATAAAAAAGAGTTTACATTAGGCCTTTCTAATTTCCTCTGTGAAGATAAGGATTCGAATATAATAATATTGCTGCCATATAGATGCAGGTATGGTTTTCAGTTTCCTAGTAATTGCCTAAATGAAATGCCTGTCACTCCAAATCATGGATTAGTCAATTATTCAAGAATCCAGAGGGAACCATTAACTCCGAAAATATTGGGAACCATTCATTCTTCCACACACCAAATACGTGTCAAGGCAACATAATAGAATGCAGAAGCTTGAGCAGGGATTACCTGGCTGGCCTGGCATCTCACCAGCTCTGTGATCTACCGACAGCTATCTTGCCTGTCTCAATCTGCATTTTCATCTGTAAACAACTGTAATGCTAAGAACTGACCTACATTTACTGCTAGTATTAAATAGGATATGCAGAGTACACAGTCGTATCTTCAAATAAAGGGAGCTTCTATTACTTCCACCGGAATGTGAGCTCCCTGTAGACAGGGAATGTGTTCTGATTTATTCACAGCTTTCCCACTCATGCCTAGAGCATGGATTGGTTTACGTTTGGTGCTCAATACATAACTGTAGAATGAATTGTGAGGCAGAAGGCAGTGCTAGGAAAGGGGTAGCTGGGAAAGTGACATAGGCTTCCTTGAACAAATTCTACTGACACTGAGAATTCATTGAGTTACCCTGGGGAGGGGAGTGGCTTGAGAAAGAGGGTAGGAAAAACAGTCTTGACAGACAGAACTGCACATATAAAGCTTTCAGGTGGGACACAGGGAAGTGAAGCCAACATGTTGGAGAGGTGATGGGAGGAGGAGCTGTCTGTGGGGAGGAGCGCAAGTGGGCGGAGCGCAGGTGAGCCTGTGCTGGGACCATGGTCCTGGGTACTGGGAAGATTCAAGGCGCAGACACTATGGTTCACCCACACTGAGTACCCAACTTCAGAAACTCTGTTCTCTCTTTTTGTACGTAACATTTCACACCAACATATTTTATTAAATATGAAAAATACTGATGGAGTTGAAATTATGGAAACTAAAATAAATTATCTCATGGTAGGCAGTATAAGTAAACATGAAA